CCCGGGGCTCCCCCTGCATCCCTCCCCTGGACCCCCCATGACCCCGGCCAGCTCTCTGAGCGCCCCAGGGGGTCCCCCTCCATGCACCCCTTTTCCCGTGCATCCCCAGTACGCTCCCTGTGAGCTCTCTGTGCACCCCTTTTCCCGTGCATCCCCAGTACGCTCCCTGCGAGCTCTCTGTGCACCCCTTTTCCCGTGCAATCCCTGGTATAGCCCCCACTGCACCCTCCACGCACCCCCTTTCCCGTATGTCCCCGCCGCGCTCTCCATGCACCCTCCACGCACCTCCCCAGTGCATTCTTCCCACACGCTCCCCCCGTCCATCCCTGCTGCGCGCTCCGTGCACGCCTGTGCACTCCCGACCATGAACGGCTCGGCGGCAGGCTCCGAGGCGGGCTGGCAGCCCGAGTCGGTGATCATCCCCCTGGTGTACCTCGTCATCTTCCTCATGGGCACGGTGGGCAACTGCCTGGTCCTGGCCGTGCTGCTGCGCAACAGACAGGTGAAGAACACCACCAACCTCTTCATCCTCAACCTGGGGGTGGCCGACCTCTGCTTCATCCTCTTCTGCGTCCCCTTCCAAGCCACCATCTACACACTGGAGAGCTGGGTTTTTGGGCCCTTCATGTGCAAGGCCGTCCACTTCTTCATCTACCTCACCATGTACGCCAGCAGCTTCACCCTGGCCACAGTCTCCCTCGACAGGTAGGAAAGGGGATGGGGGGACTCCCTGTACCTTGAGACCCCCCCCTTTTCTGGATCGCCCCCAGGCAGGAGAGGGGACAGAGTCCCCCAGAGCCAAGCCCCGATTACTGCAACCTCCTGTGGGAATCCAGGAGCATTTCCCAGCTCATGTGTGCAAGGAAATGCAACCACTGATGATGGGGTCCAGCAGAGAGGGTTGGATTGGGACCCCCTGTCCCCAGCTGGAGCAGGCTTTCAGACCTCAAAGCTGTAGGACTGGGGTTTATCTGCAGGCTCTGGCAGCTGAAGGGGGGATAGAAAACCAGAGAGAAACAAAGCTCAGTCCCTGTGCAGCCCCAGCTCTTCCTAGGATGCGGGGAGAGAGTCCCTGCCCTCCCAGCAGCCCACAATAAAGCAGACAAATTGTAAGAAGGAGAAGACATGGGATGTTTGAGCTGGGACACTGCTTTTCCCACCCTCCCCTTTATGAACAAAAAGCCCAATTCTGTCCCAGCGATGTCCGTTGTCCCAGGGACTGTCCCAAGGTGAGTTGTAGCCA